ATAGATATATACATATACTGTATGGTTTTAATTTTACATTTTAAAACAAAATATATAATAATGTGCCCTTATCCTTGATCTCTACTTCAGTGCTGTTCTTCACCCAGCTGAGAAACTAATTTTCAGTTGCAGATTTGACTAAGCACACTGTATCATTAATATTATTATTATAATTATTACTATTATTAATAAAGAAGCAACAAATTCCACAACGCTGTACAATAGGTGGTCTAACAGACAAGTATTTTTAACCATACGAGTTGGACCCAGGGGAACAGAGGATGTTGAGGCCCTGCTCGTATGAGTTTGCATGCCAGAGGGAGTGGGGTATAGTGACACAAAAGGTAAGGGCAGGGTAGAAGAGTATGTTGCTAGAATAGTTTTTGCTGAGGGTTTAGTGAGTTCTTTTGGATAACAGTTTGAGGAGAGAAAGCAGGTGTGAGGAGGGAAAGCTGTTAACAGTTAAATTGATATGCTTTCCTGAACCAAGAAAGTTTTCAATAATTTTTTGAATGACGGGAGACTGTGGGAGAGTCAAATGGAGCAGGGAAGGGAGTTCTACAGGAGCGGTGCAGACTAGAGAAGTCTTGAAGATGAGCATCATAGGTCGGAGTACGGTCAGAGGATATATCATGCATTGATGTTGGCAAGGGTGGGGGGAGGGCTTTGGGGGCTGAAGTATCAGATGTGGGGCTCCATAGCCACATATCTCTACAACTGGTAGAGGGGGCAGGAGAATATTGTGGTTTTTTGTTTGTTTTTTGTTTTTAATTTTATTAAAAGTAGTTGCCTATTACAAAATGAAAGATTGGTAGTATAGTTACTCTGCCAAGCAGTACCGCTGGTGTTGACTGTGGGCAAGGAGTTTGAGGAACAGGACTCTGCTACAAGCTCTCTATTAGTGAGGTACTGTTGGGGGTTCACATTGAATATAATATTCCAAAATGCATGTCACCATTCAGGCTTTTGCAATTGAAATAATTATAATTTTTGGCATTTATATAGCGCCATCTTATTCTGCAGTCTTTGGCGGCGGGTGGGCGGCGGGTGGGGGCCATAAAGATAATGAGGGGGGGACCTACTGTCCTCCCCCCCGGCCACCACCCCTGGGCGGCGGGTGGGGGCCACAAAGATAATGGGGGGGGGACCTACTGTCAGCCCCCCTGGCCCCCACCCCTGGGCAGCCACAAAGATAGGGGGGGGACCTACTGTCCTCCCCCCCGGCCCCCACCCCTGGGCTGCGGGTGGGGGCCCTAAGCAAATCCCTCCCCCCCAAGGTGACTAGGGGTCCCCAAGCCCCTACTCACCACCCCCCCCAAATAAAAAGTCCCTACCTACCCCCCTCACCCTAAAAAATAGTGAGGGGGGAATGAAATAACTAACCTGTAAAATAAAAGTAAACTTACCATCACCTACACAAACTGGTATCCCTATACACTACATTCCATAAGCACACACATTAGATCCTCTACAGTAACACATTTTTTAAATTGCGTCGGTTATTATGGTTTTTTATTTGGCCTTTTTGGGGGCTGAAAAAATAAGATTTTAGAATAAAGAAGACATCGAATGGTAAGATTTTTATTTTTTTTTACAGGTACTTAGTTAAAGGTCCCCCCTCATTATTTTTATGGTGAGAGGGGTAGGTAGGGGGATATTTTTTTGTGGGGGGGAGGGGGTGACTAGGGGTTTGGGGACCCCTAGTCACCTGGGGGGAAACATTTTTTTTTTAGGGCCCCCACCCACCGCTCAGGAGTGGGGGCTGGGGGGGAGGGCAATAGGTCCCCCCTATTGGTATTTAGGGCCCCCACTGCCGCTCATAGGTGGGGGCCAGAGGGAGGACATTAGGTCCCCCCCTTATTAGTATTTAGGGTCCCCAACCGCCACTCAGGGGTGGAGGCCAGGGGGAGGACATTAGGTCCCCCCGCTTATTCCAATTTAGGGGCCCCACCTGCCGCTCAGGGGTGGGGGCCAGGGGGGAGGACATTAGGTCCCCCCCTTATTAGTATTTAGGGCCCCCACCCGCCGCTCAGGGGTGGGGGCCAGGGGGGAGGACATTAGGTCCCCACCGCTTATTCCAATTTAGGGCCCCCACCTGCCGCTCAGGGGTGGGGGCCAGGGGGGAGGACTTATTAGTATTTAGGGCCCCACCCGCCGCTCAGAGGTGGGGGCCAGGGGGAGGACATTAGGTCCCCCCCTTATTAGTATTTAGGGCCCCCACCTGCCGCTCAGGGGTGGGGGCCAGGGGGGAGGACATTAGGTCCCCCCACTTATTCCAATTTAGGGCCCCCACCTGCCTCTCAGGGGTGGGGGCCAGGGGGGAGGACATTAGGTCCCCCCCCTTATTAGTATTTAGGGCCACCACCCACCGCTCAGAGGTGGGGGCCAGTGGGGAGGACATTAGGTCCCCCTCCTTATTCCAATTTAGGGCCCCCACATGCCCCTCAGGGGTGGGGGCCAGGGGGGAGTACATTATGTCCCCCCTTATTAGTATTTAGGGCCCCCATTCACCGCGCAGGGGTGGGGGCCAGGGGGGAGGACAATAGGTTCCCCTCTTTATTTTACTTTAGGGCCCACATCCACCGCTCAAGGGTGGGGGCCAGAGTTGAGGACATTAGGTCCCCCCCCTTATTAGTATTTAGTGCCCCCACCCACCGCTCAGAGGTAGGGGCCGGGGGGGCAATAGGTCCCCCTTTAGTTTAAAAGCCCCCACTCGCGCGTCGCGGGTGGGGGCTCGGGAGGGGGGACCACAGGCTGCTCACTGTTTACTAGACATGCCCCTACTCGCGGTATAGCAAGTAGGGGCAAAATTTACTAATACTAAATAATTTTTACTTAGTATTATAAAATTTGGCTGAAAGACCAATTTAGGTCTTTCAGCCTTTTGGTAGATAACTCCCTATTACTGTGGGAATTAGGGAGTTATCTACTAAGCGGCTGCAATAGAAGTCCTGAAGTCCCGAAGTCCCAAAATGCTGAAGTTCCAAAGTTGTCGAATTTCCGAAGTGCTGAAGTGCCGAAGTTGCCAAAGTTCCGTATTGCGAAAGTCCCGAATTTCGGAATGCCGAACCGAACCGAAAATTTTCCCCATGCACATGCCTAGCTGTAAGCACAGTGTTTGACGGTTCTCAGATATGAAGTGCACCGCAGGACACAAGTGTACTATTTAGCATTAGCACCTAAAACAATTAGAATTTTTCAAAGTGCGCTGTAAGCACAGTATTTGACAAATGTACTATTTAGCATTAGCCCCTAAAACAATTAGAATTTTTCAAAGTGCGCTGTAAGCACAGTATTTGACGGCTCTATTTGACTCTCAGATATGAATGAGAAAATGCTACGAAAAGAGATGCAGGAGGCAGAAGAGATGCATTGAAATATACCATACACCTGCTTTATGTGTAGGAGGCTACTAGGTGAGCACTTTGCTTTTCACATTCAATAATGTGATTAAAATAAGTCTACCGAAAGGCTAAGCACTATTTGTCAGACAAATGAATGTGTCAGCATTGCAGCCCACTCTCCCTAGCAAAAGGCATGAAAAATTAAAATCTATGATTGACTGAGAGCTACCTGCTGTTTTCTTTATAAAGTGACTGCAGAAAACATGATCATGAGAGCCCTGAATTTGCCCTCTGTCCTGCTTTTGTAGATGGGATCAAGGAAAAAATAGAGAATATTACTTTAAGAAATAGTGCAAATCTCCCAGATACAACTTTTCTGGGACACTATACTCAGCACCAAGTTGAACGAGGAGATGACCTCCTCCCCATCACTCCCTAACCCCTTCATCAACTAACACTCCATCCTACCATATAGACTAAGGGGACTAGAGGGTCTACACAGAACCACATGCCCCCTCCTCCAACCATACACCCAACAGGATCATGGCCACAGGTCACAACGGGGCCTAGCCCCAACCCAAGCCAACAGATGGTCTAACTAACATCGCCATAGGCGTGCGCAGCCTATTGCATTAGGGTGTGCACCCTAAAGCACAAACACCCGCCGTGTGTGTGTGTGTGTGTGTGTGTGTGTGTGTATGTATGTATATATATATATATATATATATATGTATATATATATATACATACATACACACACACACAAACACATACACTGCTGTGTGTGCTGTTAGTGTGATGTGTGTGTGACTGTGCTGTTTGTGTGTGAGGGTGTTTGTGTGTGTATGTGTGTCCTGTGAGGGTGCTGTTTGTGTGAGTGTCGTGTATTTGTGAGGGTGCTGTTTGTGTGTGTTTGTGAGGGTGCTGTTAGTGTGCTGTGTGTGAGGGTGTTATGTTTTTTTTAAAGGTGCTGTGTGTGTTTGTGAGGGTGCGGTTAGTGTACTGTGTGTGTGTGAGCTGTATGTGTGTAGGTGCTGTATGTGTGTGTGCTGTATGTTTGGAGGTATTTGGCAGATTAGTAAATCCTTGCTGCCATGTGCCATCCCTGGTGGTCCAGTGGAGAGTGAACTCTAGCCTGTGGGGCTAGAGTTAACTCTCGCGAGATCTGAGCGTTGCCACAGCAACGCTCAGATATCGCGAGAGGAACCTGGCGGAGCTTCTGTCTAGAGCTCCCTGGGTCCTCTCCTGCCTCCCTCCATGCTGCTGTGGGCCGGTGAGGTAGATCTTTGGTCTCCCCACCGGCCCATGGAGGCTTAGAGCAGAGCCGGCACTCAGATAGCGCCGGCTCTGTGTGTGTGTGTGTATATATATATATTTATATATATATGCATACACACACACACTCACAGACACACACACACATACACTCACAGACACACACACACACACATTCACACACTCACACACACACAGACAGACACACTCACACACAGACACACAGAGACACTCACACACAGACACACATTCACAGACACACTCACACACAAACACACACTCACAGACAGACACACTCACAGACACACACACACAGACACACTCACACACATTCACAGACACACACACTCACACACAAACACACAGACACACACTCACAGACACACACTCATACACAGACATACTCACACACAGACACACTCACAGACACACAAACACACACACACTCACAGACACACACACACAAACACACACTCACAGACACACACACACACACAGACACTCACAGACACACAAACACACAAACACACACTCACAGACACACACACACACACACACACACACAGACACTCACAGACACACAAAGACACACAAACACACAGACACACAAACACACACTCACAGACACACACACACAGACACACAAACACACAGACACACACTCACACACACAAGAACAAATTATTATATTTTAATAAAAAACAATGTCCACCCAGCCTCCTACCTGGAGTGCTGGTGGACTTGTCCCTGGGGTCCAGTGGGGCTCTCTGCTGTCTGCTCTCAGCTCCCTCTCGCCGCGCGGGCTGTCCGCTGTGGCTGGGAGCCGGAATATGACGTCATATTCCGGCTCCCGGCATCAGCGCGTGGCGAGAGGGAGCTGAGAGCAGACAGCAGAGAGCTCCCTCGCCGCGGTTCAGCTGGAGGGGGGGGGGGAATCCATCACCTCTTGCCCCCCCATGACAGGGGCAAGAGGTGAGTGGGGCGCTGAGTGCCTGCAGGAACAGCGTTCCTGCTCAAAAAAAGTGCAGGAACGCTGTTCCTGCAGGACTCAAACCATAGGCGTGCCACGGGGATTAGGGTGTGCCCAGGCACACCCGGCACACCCCGTGCGCACGCCTATGAACATCGCCCAGGAGTGGCCTCAACTACATGCAACCAGAGGCTCAAAACTTGTATATAGACGTTACATGAAACTAGCACAGCCCACATTTGTCATCGTTGTACCCTCACACTCAGCTAATATCTGTATCATTATACTTTATACTAAGTTACATGATTACGAAATATGCCATGAGGGGTAGATCGAGGTACCAAAAACCTATGTATGTACCAAGTCTCAATCTTACTCCCCCTCCCCCTTCCTTTTCTGTACCTGGTATTTTTGAAAATCAACAAAATAAAAATTGTCAAACTGGTATAAAAAAAAAGAATAATGCAGATCTTTAATTCAGGGTTATTTACCAACGTGAGAATTGTTGGGCGTTAATAGTGAATTCAAAGTGCATTTCACATTTAATGTCAAAATAGCCAAACAGTAAATAAATCTCTAGGTAACCTATAGTTTCAAGTCAGCTACTTTGGCCTTAAATATGAAAATCACTTTGAATTGCCAACAATTCTCACGTTAGCAAATAACCCTAAATGTGTATAATTTGCCATGCTGCTTTTTTTTTTTATTGAGTTGGGTCCATAGTGGCAATCAGATCTGCTTTATTACCTTCAATTTGAATATAGTGTGATCAGGTGCATGGAAATGTCAGTGACAGCATTTATATTACTCCTCTATTTTTGAGAGAGAGGGTCTGATATACGAAGTGTCTAATCAGCTGCAACACTTCCTTCAACTGCAAAGGAGTATTAGCAGCAACTTTAAATAAATTCTTGGTTGGTAAGCACTTAGAGAGTGCACGGTAAAATATCAAATATATGTATACATTTTGCAGTACACTAATTGGTAGATTTTTTGGCTAATTTGGTCACGAAACAAACAAAATGGACCATGCACAAAACCATTTAGTTTGATTCCTATTTCAACATTTAGCGCAGAGGTGCCCAAAAAACATCCTCAGATGTTTGAAAACTGCAACCTTCATGATGCTTGATATTCTACAGGCATGCAAAGATTCATGGGAGTTGTAGTTCTACAACATCTTGGGATCTTCCTTTTGGGAACCCCTGATTTAGTGGCTGTCCCCTAATCAGCAATCATCTTTTTTCTCATCAATCATACAACAGAAGCAATTCAAAAAGCACATTGTTATGTATATTACAGTAGATTAGGTTACAGGCTTTTCTACTCTGTGTGACACTAGTATGCTTTGTGGTTATCACTAATCTTGACTGCTAAACAAATGAACTTATATCAGATAAATGAGAGTCCCAACGTGTGAGTGTGTGAGGCTTATGCGCTAGTCAACCTCATGGTTGAGGGCCAGTGCGTCGCTGGTGTGGCGGTTTCAGCCAATTCCCCACTTGCACCAGAGTGTTATGGCCGGAGAAGGTGTCTGACTGGGAGCCGCTTTGGTCGTCGGCGTGTGAGGCAGTTCAGTCTCTTGGGTAGGAGTTTTCAGGGGCACAGTGGGTAGTCGGCAGGGTCTCTGCAGTCTCTTGTGTGTGTTCCCCACCCGGGGAGTGCTGGCCTTCCTGAGGGTTGTGGGGCTGCAAAGGGGTAGTACCAGCTGGGGGGTAGGACGACTCACCGCTGGTCTAGGTCTGTGGTTTAGAGGTTTGTGTCGGGTCGTCCGTCTCCTCCTTCCCGCCCTCCGAGTTTCACCAGTGCCCCGGTCGGGAGCCGCAGGCCTCAGCACGTCCGCTCTTTGGGTCGTTGCTGGTGGGGTCTCCTCTTTGGTGCCCCCCTGGTGATAAATTTTTGCCCAAAAGGCGGCGAATATCCAGCCTTTCTTCAAGGGGGCACCGTTCAGTGGGTTACACGTGGTGACTGCCGTCGTGTTCAGTGCTGTGCCAGCAGTGTGGGACAGGCAATGTTGTCGTTTTGCGCTTTGTCACAGGCTTTGGTTACCGGGATAACCCTCACTGGCGGGGGGGGAGAGAGTGTACCGGGGAGACCTCTAGGTTAGTGGGCTGCAGTCAGCTTAGGGATTGGCTGCCTCCCCCGCTGTAGCTGAGTAGGCCTCTTGTAGGCCTTTACTTATCCCTGGGTAGGAGCCTCTAACTTCGGTCAGGGTGCTTGAAGCTTGTCTCCGCAGTCTTGGGCTCCCTTCCCCAGGATGCTTAGCTGTCAATTTGGGTGGATTGTGCCCAGATTTTGGCTGGATTTGAGCATTTTTGTATGGAGCTCTTTGAATGTACGACCGCTCAGTATTGCTGCCAGGCTCTGCCCCCCGCATTGTCTCCATTTTGTTTGTTTTGTGATTCATCCATATAGTGCTTAAACATAATTCTTTTGAAACCAAATTCACAATTATATTTGAAAAAATGATTTATTTAAAGTAAAGTATTGGTTGTGATCCAAAAGGCTCAAAACCAAAATGGACTGAACTGTACCTTTTGGTTATCAGCATGGTTTTGGGTCTTGTCCAGAAGTTGAAATCGTTTTGGCAGTACAGATTTCACATTTATATATTTACATACCGTATGGTAATATAATATTGAAATAAAAACCATGACTCATTTCCAAATGTCAATAAAGGTTTGGCTATTATATTTAATGCAGCACATATTACAGAGGTTCTGCAGAGAATCAATGCTCCTGAATGAGATACACCCCCGAAGAGGCTTGTAGTAAAGCACTTCACAGTGTTAAACCACAATAATAGGCTTGGATTAAAAGAAAGGAAAGAAAAGGTTGATGAGAAAGATAAAAACCTAAACCTTTAAATAATACTGTTTCTTGCACTTGGTTTCATTGTGTCACTGGGTCTCACCCAAGGGGATTATTTAAATCTTCTAAAATAAGAGATAATAGTACTAACTAGCCAACAGTACACTTTAGATGCTATGTAGCTTAGGCCAGGATCATTAAATGAAAATTGTGCTGTGATTGACAAAGGCAGTCATCTGTTTAATACACCTTTTTCTAAAGGTATTGCCATCCTCATGAAAGCCCATGTATTGGGGCTGAAACGTCGATATTTTTATATGATATAGAATAAAAGTTATATTTTATTTTTACTATCAACAAGTCCTTGGAGTGCGGTCATTTCCAATCTTTTTTTTTTTATTTTTTTTTTTTATAGGACAATATTTTTTCAATAACAAATATTATTACTTTTACAAACTAAACACAAACAATATGAATTATTTCACAGTATTTTATCAGGTTTTAAATAATCTACTGTTTTGATTGCAAAAATTGAGTTAAGTAAAACAGAGAGTAGATAATGATATGTTCACAGGAATTTAGTGGAATAGAGATTATATATTGGCTAAAAAAGTAGATTTCCTTTTTTATAGAATGTTCATATTTATTTATTAGAAATGAAAACGAAAAAATGATGTTGCCATGGACATGGGAATGGTATTAAGATAAGTGCACTACTGCACTATT